CCCCCACCTCTAATTTTAATTTCCCTCTTAACATTCGTATTAAATAGTCTATAATCTACAAATATATATGGTAATTGATGTCGGTATAGTAATAGAGATAAAGTGATATAAAGGGTGATAGAATAGAGTACGGAGTAGAATACATGGTAGAGTAGAGTACGTGGTCAAGTACGTAATAAAGTAGAATATATAATTGAGTAGAGTACATGATAGAGTGCATAGCAGAGTACAAAGTAGAATATATGGTAGAGTAGAGTACGGAGTAGAGTACGGAATAGAGTAGAATACGGAGTACGGAATGGAGTAGAGTACGGAATAGAGTAGAATACGGAGTACGGAGTAGAGCAGAGTACGGAATGGAGTAGAGTACGGAGCAGAGTACGGAATGGAGTAGAGTACGGAGTAGAGTAGAGTACGGAGTAGAGTACGGAATGGAGTAGAGTACGGAGTAGAGTACGGAATGGAGTACGGAATGGAGTACGGAATGGAGTACGGAATGGAGTAGAGTACGGAATGGAGTAGAGTACGGAATGGAGTAGAGTACGGAATGGAGTAGAGTACGGAATGGAGTACGGAGTAGAGTACGGAGTAGAGTACGGAGTAGAGTAGAGTACGGAGCAGAGTACGTGGTAGAGTACGGAGCAGAGTACGTGGTAGAGTAAAATATGGAGCAGAGTACGTGGTAGAGTAAAATATGGAGCAGAGTATGTGGTAGAGTAAAATATGGAGCAGAGTACGTGGTAGAGTGCGTAATAGTTATGATTGATAGTGGTGTGATTATGGTAATAATAAAATGCGTGGTGTGGTTGTGATAGTGACAAAGTGCATGGTGTATAATGTGGTGTTAAAGTATGTGATGTGATTGTAGTAGTGGTAAAGTAGGCAGCGTTGCTAGAGAGCATGCATATAATGGTAAAGAACATGCGTGGGGTGATGTGGAGTGGTATAGTGGTAACAGAGCGTACATAGATAAAACGACATCATTAGATGATTAAAAAAAAAAAGAGAGAGTCGGGTTTATGCGTCCTTTTATAATTTTTTTTGCACTTGATCGCGTACTATGATGGCTAAAAATAAATACGCTGTACACGACTCTTTTTTTTCGCGTAAGTTGCATAATAATTGTGCGTGTGAGAACGTGTTTGTTATGTAATTCTCGAGTTTTGATTATCATGGGATACATGTGAACGGCTAATAAAGTCACTAATCTGACACTTGTAATCTTTCTATTTTAGGAAATAGAGATAGGTTATTCTCACATATTACGATGGCATCAGCAGGAAAGCGCCGTTTCGTGCAAAAAAATTTTTATTCATATTATTTACTACCCAATTTGGATAAATGCATTTTTACGAAAGACATAGTAAAAGTTCGACTAAGATTAGATTTTTTTTTACAGTAACTGTCAGTATATTTTATCCATTACCACGTCTACTGCGGATAAAGCTCGTGGTCCCTCGAAACACTAGAAAATCTTTTCGGAGATGAATCATTTGAGTAGATACTTCGAAGGTTGGGTATACTATAAAACTTTTAAAGGTGATATAATAGTTCGTATTCATCAACTAATGCGCATTCTTATCATCTATCTTTAGAAAAGTTAATTATAAAATTCACGAGAGCGCATCGCAATTGGATAAGTTTACGACATAAATAATAATAAATTATTTAAAAGAATAATCAACCTTCGGATAATTATAGTATATATTGATTTCTAGACTGGCATTTAATCCTTTGACTTCTGGAAGTTTAAATGCTATAATTTAATTCGTCTATTTCTACTTAACAAGCCTTGCCTTACGAGGAAAGTGAATTACTGTAAATGACGTTTAATTGATCACAGTCATGGCAAAAAAATATTGATTTTAGCAAGCAATACTGTATTATGGTATATAATTTCTCTATCATGCGCAGACGTTCTTCCGAAATCTCTGATCAATTAAATCTCTCCAGCAAGCATAGACTAGGAAAAGTTTTAAAAAACAAATTTTTTTAAATTTTTTGATCACAGATTTAATATCACTCTTTGAATTTCTATCAGCATATACTGCTTCTAATCGTAGGACGTATAGTACAAACTCAAAAAGCATGCCTGATAATTTTTTTATAATAATAGAAGTTGAAAATTTATATATAATGTATATTGGCAACTGGCAATTTTATTATTACTTTGAGGTAAATACATCACCGAGTGATCAAAATATTTTAACACTGACAAGCGTAAAGGCTTGGGCTATGCTCCAAGTTTAGCTATTTAAGTTTTATTTATTTTTTTTTTAAATGTTAAAATTGTATTTAATTTTTATATTTTTATATAAAAAATAGTTTTTTATCTAAAAAAAAAATTTTTTTATACATCTTAGTTGATTTTAGAATAAAAAAAAAACTTGAATTATGTTTCAAATTTAATTATTTTAGTTTTATTGTTTTAATTTGTTTTTAATTTTTAATTTTTTTAAATTTTTAAATTTTTGAATAAAAAAATATATATTTTTTATATATTTTAATTTTAAAAAGTGCAAGATTTAATTTATGCTCAAGTTTAATTATTTGAGTTTTATTTTTTTTAAATTTTAAAATTATATTTAATTTTTATATTTTTATATAAAAAATAATTTCTTAATATATTTTAGTTGATTTTAGAATAATAATTAAAAATTTAAAATTTTTATTTATTATATATTTTAATTTTTTTCAAAATATCAAAAATTTTAAACTATACTTTAAATTTAATTATTTGAATTTTATTTTTTTAAAATTTTAAAATTGTATTTAATTTTTATATTTTTATATTTAAAAAAATATTTTTTTAATATATTTAATTAAATTTAAAATAAAAAAACTTGAACTATATTTTTTTTTTAAAAAAAAACTCTTTCTGTTAATCTTCTGACCGCATACAAAAAAGATGTTCGCAAGAAGTTTTACACTTCTTTGCTAATAAAGTCTTAACAATTTTCTTAAAACAACTTGAAGTATGACTTCAAGAGTCACTTCTACTCTTTTCTTATTGTTTATAAACCTCTTCACTCAAAAACTTGACTCCTAGTGACCAAGAAAAGTTAAGTAACATCTTTAATATCAATGACAAGAAAGTTCTCAAAGGAAGAAGAACTAACTGTGAAGTACCTGAAGGTCTTTCTAACCTTTTAAGTAAAAGATTTATAAAGGTTTTCTGCAGCAAAAAGGCTTATTTTCTCTCTTTTTGACTATTTTGGCACTCTTAAAGCTTCTATTTTTACAGTTTTCTGGGAAATTTTGCCTACCTCAATTTAATCCTAAATTTTGAATAGCATAAATCTTTACCAAAAGTGATTGGTTAACATAAAATATGTCAGTTTTGAAATGTAAACAAGTTCCTATTGATTACACTCACATGTCTTGATATATCATTGATAATATAGAAAAGAAAGTTCTAAAAAAAGTATTCCTTCCAATCATATATGTTCAATCTCTAGGAAACAATTATAATATCAAAAGATGAGTGATAGGTATGAAAAGAAGATCTAACTCCTATTTCTCACTAAGTTCTTCAGATGGTAAAAAGACTTTTTTAAACAAAAACTGAAGTCTTCAAGCTTCTATTCCAGTCAAGTAAAGTTTTTGAAAAGATTTCTTTATCTTGATCAGGCAAATTCTTTTATAATATGATGCTGACTTCAGTAGCATTAAGTGAATTTATATATTGCCAGAAAGATAAGTTCCTTAAACATTCTTCTTGAAGTCACTTTTAGGAATGGTTAAGTTCCTCAAACATTATGAAGTTTAAAGAATATCTCAATTAGGCAAACCCTTTTTGAAAAGAAATTGTGAAATAGAGAGAACCTTTTGGTGGGCTTTGAATTGTATTTCTTTTTCCCTTTTTCCTCAGTACCAACTTTAGCAATTCATTATTTTTTGGAATAATCAATAGTAACAAACTATTGGCAATGACTCTAGTTGACTTAGAGATTAATGTCAAGCTACTAGGTGCACATAATATTGTTTCTAAAATCTAACTTAGAGTATCTAGTTTAAACTTAGTTTTGTTTAGTTCAAACTAGTTTAGTGAACTTTTTATATTTTTTAAGTAATGTAGTTCTTTAATCAATAATATACAATAACTAGTTAATCACTTTATGAAAGACTATAAACTTTATGATATTTTTCAATATTTCAATAAAAACTGCTATTGCGGCATGATTGCAAGTTAAAAAAAAACTTGAACTATACTTTAAGTTTAATTATTTGAATTTAAAATTTTATATTTTTGTATAAAAATTTTTTTTATATATTTAATTAATTTTAAGATAGTTAAAAAATCAAATTATATTAAAAAAACTCTTTCTCGCATAATCTGAAAAATCTCAAAATTACTATTTTAGAAAATCTAAAACAATTTCAGCCTCGAAGATAAAACCAAAGGAATCTGGGAGTTCTTCTCTCAAGGAACCCAGTCAATAACATGAATACATCCTTCTCGATGTTCTCATCACGGATATTAAAAAAAAACTAGCAATAATTTACTACAAAAACACAAAAACAAACAAACTTTTCATTACTGACCTATCCACATCTCACCTTCTTCCAAACCTCGGAAACTGTCCACCCATTTGGCTCACATCTATCAGAAGTTTGGAGAATAAACAAGCCAAGTTTAAAGTAATAGCAGCCACATTCGAAACAGTTCAAAGAAACAGACTCTCAAGCCTCTACACTAATATCAATATCTCCACCCTTGAACTCATGACCATAACCACTCTTAACACATTTCTGGACTTTCAACAAACCTTCAACTAACAGATGAGGATCATAAACTAGTCATAAAAGAAGTCATAATCAAAAAACTGAGCTATAGCCTTCACATCTCTTGGAGCAAACTTGATATAATAATGGATGAAAATTCCAACACTTTTCTCTTGAAACAAAAAATCCAAAACCTCATGCCCCCTCCAAATACACCTGTCCCAACTGAGGAAATGATTTGTGACAATGATATGCAAGTAGACACAAACCAATCTACCCCCTTGTCAGCTTACATACAGTATACACATGTTAACCAGCCCAATATGTCCAAAAGGAGTAAAGAGAAAGACACTGATCAACAATACATGAACCAACCACAAGCAGTGACAAATGATGCCACAACAAACCAATCGAAAGGCCCCCAAAAAATTCCACAACTTTGTGAGCTGATCAAACCAATAACGAATCAGACATTAGACTTGCTGATCCCTGAAAAACTACAAAGCACTCCTGGAAATTTGCCAAGGACTGAACACCTTCACACACGAACCAGAGGCAATAGTTAATTTCTTCCCAACTATCAAACAAGAAGCTCCCATCAGAGCCCCTGAAAACCTAAAGACGATATTCATCAAAATAGAGCTTAGGGACAGGGCCTTCTTCTACACATTCACACAGACAGAATTAATCAAAAGCAAACATCAGTTACAATATGAAGAAATTGAAAAACAATACCATAACAACTATTGCAATAAACATAACATTACCTTTATTACTAGAGCAACAAAATGCAAAATCAAAAACATCATTAACAAGGCTTTATTCATAGCTTACCTCAAAACCAGGGATCTGGCAGATCTAAAACACTGGCAGGTCGCAGCACTACTCGAGTATGGGTTCAACTATTTCATGGACCCATCATCTTCAAAAGTTGACTACCATGACATTCTCAAACACAGTGAAGAAATGATCAAAAACAAACTACTTGAACTTCCTGCCTCACCTGATCTCATCCCTGCAAATATAAAAATCAAACTATCCCATCCTATCCTATCTCATCTCTACGACTTCTAGCACAAACAGCCAAAAGCCTATGAATATATTATAACTTTGACCTTCTTCCGGAATCATATTTTAAGAAAAAACTCGAGCTCCCACATGAGCCTGAAAACCTCATTCCAGAAGTCAAGAACCTCTTCCCATTAAAACACAGAGCCCAACTGAAAGATTTAAAAGCATTAGTAACAGAACTCAGGGACTTTTACTATGT